CCGTAGTCACAGTCAAGACATCAGACGGTTTATTTGAGCACGCTGCGACCATGATCAAAAGTGCGGGGGAGACGTGCTGGGCATGCTAGAGTGGGTCCCTTCCATTGGTTCGGGCCAGCCCTTGTGCCACATGCAGTATAGTGGGTGCCCCAAGCTCCCTCCCAGCAAGCTCCCATCCACTGAGCACCACGGAGTCCAACGCTGCATCCCCGATGTGCCCAGTCGTTATGAAGTGGACAATCCACGAGGGTGTCCTGAGTCGTTGTACAGCACAGCTCACTGACCGCTCTCTGTAGAGATTCCAGAACGCAGGCCAAGGAATCCGAAGGTGGTCGCCGCTGCTGTGTTGTGAGGCTTGAGGGCTTAGAAAAGGGAGAGCTTCCCCTCACTGTGTCGCGAGCTCAGCTGTCATTCCTGTCCTCTCAACACCTGTTCCTGTCTACCGGTTCGATCGATAGCGCTTCCCATTGCCCGCCGCCTTCAGAAGCTTACTGACGCCCGCATCTTTGCGTCACTGAAACCTTATCGTCTTATAATCTACCACTAATTGCTCGTCTTGCTTCTTTCGCATACTACTACTTCTTCCTCTTCGCGCGCACTTGCGTTTCGTTCACACCAACTTCCCATACCTCAAGACTACACACATCTTCGCAATGGCCGCCTCAAAACCTAGCGTTCGCATCATCAGCGCCCTCGCCGGCCCCCGCCTTCTGGGCCCTCGTCTCACAGTCCGTCAGCTGTCAATGACAGGTTCGACTGCCTCTTCATCGCTCCTCACAACCGACAAGCCCTATGCCTCAAATCGTTCAGCTGGACCCATCCGCCTCCATGGCGAGCAAACCATCCCAGTCCCCGAGGCTACTGAGACCGGCAACAAAGTCCGCCGCTTTAACACATCGAGGAGTTTAAAGTCCGTTGGCGATTCCAGTACCCTGGACTTTATGCACTTTCCGGAGTTTGACCTGGAGAGCCGAAGCGCGCCCATGGGCATCAGAGTCCCTATCATCCCATGGGCCAACGTTGCCAGCCGGGGTGCTGAGAGCGAGGATTCCGTAAGTCTTGTCCCACTCTCTGTCTTTTGTTTATCGCGCAAGAGTGCTAACGATATGACTTCCTAGATCCCCATGCAGCCCACAATCTACACTGTCTCCGCTGACGGTACCCACATCCACTCCCCTTCCGCAATGACCGAAGTGTCCGACACAAACCAGTCTGGTTACCAGGGCATCGCTGAGGCTGTCGCCAACAAATTCACCTCGACCCGTGAGGAGGGTGAGGGTATGGTGAAGCAGATCTGGAATGATCTCATGGAGGATCTTGCCGATCTTGCGAGTGGCTCAAAGCGCGGCTCTAACAAGGCTTAAGTGGGGTGTACATATGCTGTCATGATTGCCGTCGGCGAACGGCGGTTCTGATGGTTACGTGGGCTTCGGACTGTACTGGACTTCCGATGGCTATCGGGTGGGTCTAGGGATGTTGAGTCGAAGCATGTTTTTGCTTTCTTGGTACTGTGGAATGGAAGGGTCTAGCGCGAAGTGCTCGGGCTTATGAGATCACGAAATACATTTTAATCGCTCTACGATCAGTGTCTCTCATTCTTCGTTGCAATGCGCTCGTTTGACTTCGCTGCCCCACCCCGACTTTTGATCAAGGTGTGCGCGAGCACAGTGCTGATTGACAAGGAACTGTATGTTGACAATCAAGATCGTAAGCGTAGAGTCCTGCCATCGCAATGGAATATACCAAATCCTCTCATCTCAGACCTCCAAGTTCTTCCATCAGTCCACAAAGCGCCCGCACGAGCGGCGGCCCAGTTTCACGATCCACGTCAGGATGTGTGGATTCAAGAAGCATAACGCCCACCTTCATAACCTGTGAAGGATACTTGAGGTTGCAGATTTCGGGCCGAGCAATCGCTCCAGACTCCGATGCCACTGGCTGGTGCGTAGAGATGATGCGAAGGCACGGTATACCGCTGTTCGTAGCAATGAAGGCATTAACGCCAGCCTGGTTATCAGAGGCGGCATCATCGAGGTAGATAACTTTGCCCGGAAGCGAACTTGGCCGTGTGCGCATCGGCGTCGTAGTACCGGTCTTCTTCGCTAGGTCGCGCGTCATCATGCTGTATGTCCAGAGGACCATAATGGCATGGTACAACATGAAGGAATCTGGGCCGCGGATCTGGTATGGCGGGATTTGTCGCGCAGCTCGGACTACCTGTCCAGCATGCCAGATTGCGACTCTGGCTTCTTTGGTTTGGCTCCAGGGTGAGAGGTGAGTGTACGCGCTGTTGGCAGCGCTCTCACCGCATTTGCCGGCGAAGCGCGTGATTAGATCGAGGTTGACGTGGAGGTACATCTGCAAGAATTGGTGGAACAGACAGGTCACGGCTGGATGTTTGCTAGGTACAAGATCTTCGCGTTGAAGGTATTGGTATCTGCGGGGGAGTGTCAGCTTCATCGAGTATGAGAGAAGATACACCAACAGTTTTTCCTGACGAGATCGAGCCCAGAGCTGTGAAGCGGCGTCGCTGCTCTCGTTCATCAGCGCAGATTGCTGTGTATACTCCCAGATTTGGGCAGCAATGCCATGCAGATAAGATGAGTGAGCGACTTGCATGTCGATGGTGGCAGGAAGACAGTGTATGGCAGCTTCGTCTTTCAGAAGTGTTTGCAGTGAGGGAGCGCTGGCGACGACGTCCATATCAAGATAGCGCATTCGCCATGTCTCTGCTGAAGGTGCCAACCACAGGGTCTTCGAGGCAGGCAACATGAGCGTAAGTTCAGCGTAGCTGATAAGTGGCGGGCGATGTTTGGCCATAGTCATGTGGATATCGTGCTCGAACAAGTGATACACCAACCTGTCTGTATTAGATGCTGGGTAAACAGAGTCTACTGTGTCTGTCATACCTCTTGTAAGATTCTTGCTCCACCCACTGCTTCCACTTTGCATGTAGTTCCTCGTCGCCATCCTCTGCAGACGGTGTAACTGCAGGATACCGGATGTAATCGAATCTACCGGCGCGCCGTAGTGCCTACAGAGTCAACGTGTGTTACACTATCATATCAGAGCTTCTTACCGTGACAAGAGATTGCAAGCTACTCTCCGCGATTTCCATCTTCCTCCTGTACCCACAGAATGCCCCGATATCAAGCCAAAGCATCGAAGCTTGGAGATATTCAAGGTCGCGTATCACACTGTTATCATTCTCGGACTGGAGACGTATTAGACATACTTCGACTTGGTGTCAAGCCTGGTATTTGCAAAAGACTTACCAGCCTGTTCAACGCGACTCGGACTATCTCCTGTAGCGCCAAGCCTGTCCTGCTCACCGAGAGTACGCCAAAACATACGCACCCAGCTGCCACCAAGGCAGTGAGATATTCTGGCCGGGCAGTCTCGCTTTCGAAGGTATACGGATGGATCCATGCATCCGTTTCAGTTCTTTTTGCAATTCCAACTTTGATCAGCTTGTCGACGCACTCTGCCGAAGGGAAAGAAGGAATGGTGATATGGCTCTGTGCTGTCTTCGACACCAATTGGAAGATGCGGTCACGGGCTGCCGGCGATAGCTTATCTGGGATCACAACGTTGGAAGAATATGGCATGTGTGGTGACGAGGCAAGATCTACGTTACGCTCGTCCAAAGCGATGTTTTCGTGCTCGCTGAAAGCGTGCTGGTTACGCTCGGGGATCCAGAACCTAAAGCAGGTCAGCGCTGATTGGTCTATCGGTCAGTGTGGCTTACCAGGCAGACTGTTTGAAGACTGCATGGCGCCTCTTCGCGGAGTTGCTATCAATCTTCTCGTGAGAAACATCTGTATTAAGAGGCGGCGTTGCAGAAGGCAAGGCTGTCACCTGCGATGTCTGCACTTCTAGCATCTGACTGACAGTTGGAGTGAAATCATTGCCAAAAATGTCAACCTGACCAAGCCAGTCACTCTCTGGCATCCATGCGGTCAGATCTGGAGGCGGTTGCATGTAGTCACTACCCAAGAAGTCTGGTGCGGGAACCATGATCTGTTCGAAAAAGGCCGGGATGGTATGCTGGGTATAACCAGTGGTATTGTACAGATCGAGTAGAGCTTGCGCCTCAGTATTGGTCTCGTTGAGGTAGACATCGTTCAGTTGTATGTCATCGTCAAATTGGTATGGGTTGCTCTGCTCTTCAACAGATGCTGCAAACACTTGCGCTGACTGTTGTCCTACATCTGCTTGAGCGGGCGGTGACGGATCGGGCGACTTTGTCAGGCATGGTAGGCTTTTCTTTTGGCACCGTTTGCATGGCCTTCCATTGTCGCATTTGACTTTTGATACGACGCAGGAGTTACAGGCCTTCGTGGCACGTTCTGCTACGCGATATGGGCCTACGAGCCCATCTTTAGCATTCTTTGTGTGAGTTGCTTGATGCCTGAGTAGCAAATCCCTTCGGTTGAACGCTGCAGGGCACTCCTCACAATGAAACGACCTCTCGTTGCGGTCTGTGCATCGTTAGTATTTCGTTGAGTGATGGCCAACGGTGAGCGAAACTTACGTGAGTCTAGATGTCGGTTCAAGTGGTCGGCACGTTCGTATGATCGGTGGCAGACTTGACACTGAAGCCCACCAATTGACGCATCGGAAGTCCACTTACGTTTCGAGGGTCGCGCATTCGTTGGGGTCACCGCTATCTCGACTGACATAATTCAAGAACTGAGGAACGGAAATGTGGGAAAAAAACGAGCAGGTAGTTCAAAGCGCATCAAGGCTTCCGGCCATCGGAAAGTGGGCGCCCCTACCCTTGTTCAGATGCGGGGTGTGTCTGAACCGTCACATCAATCGAGCCGACGGCATATCAATTGCCGAACCTTCAACATCCTCGGGAGTAGTCACGTTTCACATTGCAAGCCTCACTCATCAAGCCATGTCGCCTATGTCTACAACTGCAGCAGAAACATCGATTCAGAGGGCGCGGCTCAGGTGTCGCCAATACCCGTGTCGACCGAAGTGTGGGACCTGGTCTAAGCCACTGCTGTTGTTTTGAGACCAACCGTTATTGCTGACATAGAACGCCTTTGCTCCCAATCATGCACTCCCCGATAGGTGCAGTTGTAATCCATGAATTCATCAGGGTGCCTGTCCCGGTTAGATCATGCCAAAAAACCTGCGCGACTTGCACTCACATTTTGATCACATTGCTGCCTCGTTCCGTTGCAGGCTTCGCAGCTTCGCGGCTGAATCGCTGTATCAAGCTTGCACGTTCGTGTCTACTTTTGAAGACGTCTTCTAGGATCGAAGACACTTCGTCCTTGGATGGCCTGCCGATGATGTGACTGAAGAGCGTTCCTAAAGCTTCGGCGTCCTCAATGGTTTGGCTTGCACCTTGGCCTTGAGTCGGTAGCATAGCGTGCGCGGCATCCCCAATGATAATCGCGCGTCCAGAGTGCCATTTATCTAGCGGATCCAAATCGCGTAGCTGCCAGAGACCGATGCTTTCGGCATTCCGGAGTGCATCTTTGGTCCAGCCGGGGAAATCCTTGAATGTTTCCAACATCTTTTCAGGGTGTCCTTTCGTCACCCACGACTGCGCTTCGTCGGAATTCTCGTTCATCTGCTCGTCCGGTACCAGTCCAACGATACTGTAAAGTGATCCGCCGCGTGCAGGACCCATGATGAGTCGACAGGAGTGTGCCATGATCATAGAAGTATAGGGCTCCTCTGGTTTGATGTTTTCGGAGAATTGAGGCGCGCGCTCGTTCAGAATCGCAGTTGGCAGCATAAGCCGGTATGCCGAGGAACCTGTGGGCTTGGGATGAGCCTCTCGACCGAGTATAGAAGTACGTAGAGCACTGTGAATGCCATCCGCGCCAATGACAAGGTCTGCTTCTAAATGCTCACCACTCTCAAGTATGACTTTGCCTCCTTCACAGTCACACCGAGATACTCGTGCCGAAGTACGCAGTATTGCAGGCTGGCCGTCCCGTTCGATGGATGTAGCTGCCTTCTTGAGATAGGCGTGGAGATCTTCGCGGTGCCACATGATGCGGTCTGCGCCATACTGCGTCTTGCTCCGTAGAGGTATTTCATTCACCATCTTGCCGTCAGCATTGTAGATCCTGAATCCGTGGTCGACCGTGCCGTTCGAGCCGTTGAGCAGATCTGTTAATCCCCACGACTGTTCTAGGATCCTTGTGGCATTGGGTTGTAGTGAGATCGTAGCGCCGATCTCTGCGCTGAGACGAGATTGTTCGAGGATCGTAATCTGTCGACTGTCCTTCCGAAGGGCTATAGCTGCTGCCAATCCTGCGATACCACCGCCCACAATAATGATCCGAAATGGTGTTGACGATGACATTGTGAGCGCAGTCATGGGTGTACAGGAAGAGGAATTGATGGAGTGTCAAGATATTGTGCCGGAGTGAAATCGAACATGTTGGTGGTATCCCGGGAAAGCGGTTGCCTGATAATCGATAACCTCTCACCGTCCTAGCAAGGGAAACCTGCTGGAATTGATCTCTACCCTCCACTTTACGAGATCTTCTCCCAACATCCCCGCAATGTGTATTCAGGTTCGTGCATCTCGCATGCGCCGTCGTCGTAATCGGGGTTCGGAGAGGTGGGCCTAGACACGTTCGGTCCGTGTGGGCAACGCCAAAGGCTGCACATCGCACAGGCGCTCAGATATCGTGTGAGAAGACTGTTGAATATGACCTCCAAGCCAGTCTTCCCAACACAGCAATCAAGTTCCATTCAATTCGGCAAACAGCCCCAAGACCAATATACCCAACGACATGATCTCCACCGCAACGAAGACAGCGTCGGTTACGCTGAAGGCCGTCGAAGATCAGCGCATGAGGGTGGATGGCACGGATACGACGTTCGGAGACTGGAGGGACGACCTGGCTAGAGATGGCTATGCAGTCATCAAGGGTGCAATTCCGAAGGAGAGGGCCGATAAGTACGCAGACAAGATGTATAGCTGGTTGGAAGGATTGTAAGTACAGACACCACAACGCGATATCGTAAAGCACTCACATTTTCCAGCAACCTCGGCTATGACCGCAATGACTTGTCCACGGTCCACAAAGACAAGCTCCCGTTGATAACTGAAAAGGGCATGTGCCTCCAATATGCTGTTACCCACGAGGACTTTGCTTGGGCGATCCGAGGAGAGCCTGGCGTTGTAGGAGCCTTTGAGAAGGTTTACAATACCGAGGACTTGATCGTGTCGTTTGATGCGATCAACTTCACATTGCCGTATGTTGGGCGCATCCATGCCTCGAACAAGCTGACAGTCACTCTAGTCGCTCAGACCTGGCACCGAACAAGCCGTGGCCTCACCAAGACCAAGACCCATTGAAACCTGGATTCCGATGTCTGCAAGGCTTGGTGAATCTGCTTCCCAATGGTCCAGAGGACGGCGGATTGATCGTGTGTCCGGGCGGACACCTGTTGTCCGACGAGTTCCATAAAGACATGGCGGACGAGGAACGCATTCCAGCGTGGACACCAGAGTGGTATGGCTTCACTGAGAACGGCATGAAGTGGCTCGAGAAGAAAGGCCTGAAGTGGGCGAAGGTGTGTGCAGAGCCCGGCGATCTGCTGGTGTGGGACTCCCGCACCCCTCACTACAACCTGAGCTCCAAGACGAAGCAGCCTCGTTTTGCAATCTACACATGCTACATGCCTGTAGAAGATGCCACTCAAGAGGACTTGCGCAGGAAGAAGGATGCGTACGAGCGCTGGGTGGGAACGACCCACTGGCCAAACGCGAGGCACACAGGCTCAAACGTTGCGAAAAGAGACGGAGTGGACGACCCGCACAATCGGTTCGAGCCGGTGAACAAGCCGATCATGGATGAGAGGACATTCAAGCTGACTGGCATCCCGTATATCAAGGCGGAAGTCTAAGTGTGAGAGTGGCTTGATCTTGGAGCGCGCCCAAGGTGGTAGGGGAGGTGGTGGATGAGTAGCATCCAACGCGCCTGATCTGGTACGCGTGCCTAGCGTGACGCGTTAGTCCAGATTAGGCCGCTTTCTCTCGCTAGCTGAAATAAAAAACTATGACATCAACGAAGCTTACCCAACGTGCCCGTCTGACAGCCATCTATCACGGCATGGCTCAACAACCAGATAAAGGCGCTGAAGAGGATCACGAGATTCTATTCAGCGTTCTGATTATAGTGCGCTGCTGTCCAAATGACTCGACTGGATGCCGACAATGCCTATGACGCGTCAACGCATCCATCACCAACGAAGACCTAGCCAACACCGACACTGACATTGCTATGCAAGGCCATGGTACCCATCCATACCGACCGTAACTTACCGGCTTTCTCAGGCCGCCGTTGAAGGGCCCTTCCAGGGACATACAGCACCTTGAAGCTAATGCTACGTTGTTGACATGATTGCCCGTGTACGTTGCCAGCCCACCTCTGCCACAATCGTCACTGATCAGGCAGAAGCAGTCACATAACATGATACGACACGGCTCGAAAGCCAATCAAGGGGTTTACGAGCGATATCCACATTCAAACATATCTGAATTAGACTAGGACGCACGCGCTTCCCCAGCCACGCCAAAACAGCAACACAACAGTCTCGCTGCAACGCCAATACAACACAGCTGCACTCATCTGTCTGGTATCTCCGTAGATCTTCCGCCGACGTGACACGAGCATACGACAGACTGTCTTCTCAGTGCGACATGGAAGGGTGGCCTGACACCTTCTTCATCGCCCACTTGCCGGTATAGGCCCTGATCTTCTTACCATACAGGAAGACAGGTATGCCAAAAAGACCGAAGAGTGCCGTGAGTCCGGCGTACGTTCCGAACGTTCCGTCGTAGCCATCGGTCTCGATGAACCTGGCGACACCATAGCTGGTGCCGAAAGACACGAAGCCTCGAAGAGCCGTGATGACGACAAGAATAGGGCCAGCGCGTGCTGGATCTAAATGTAAATATGTAAAGTCAGTGTATGTCTCACATGCCGTCCATCCAGAAACACTTACAAGAGTCAAGAAGGTACGTGATTGCAGCGATGTTGGCGCCAACGAACGCGAAGTAATACGCTGCATTGGCGAATACGAAGACGAACCAGTGGTAATCTCCTGGGTTTTCCGCTGCCAGGCCGTACAACGTGGCGGCAAGGCACCCACATAGCAGGGGAATCCAGAGCAGCAACAGGCGATTCTCAGGTTCGTGAACTCCACCATTGCGTCTTGCTCGCCACTTGATTATGACATCGCTGCCGTTACCAAGGAGTGGGAGTGCCACAAAGGCGACAACGATCTGCCCAGCGTTGACGTATGATACGGAGCTGTCCGACCAGTTGTACGGAGGCGCGTGTACTATCGTGCCGTACGTTGTTCCAATGGCGATGTTGACGCCAATAGTAAGACCGTTTAGGCAGAAGGCCCAAAGCACATTGGGGAACAACATGACCTGGAAGGTGTTGACGAAGCCGTAGAAACCTTCCATCCATTCCGGTTTGTTGACGAAGATGCGCATATCTGACCAGACTGTGCGGGGAAGAAATTTTGTGTTATCCAGAGGCGGTCTTTCGGAGAGCTTAGCCGGCTGTGGTGCAGTCGCCCTACATCCTTCTAGCTCACCTCCCTCTTCGGCTGAGAATTGACCATAAGCGGTCAGAGGGCGATCGTACTTTGACTCGGGAACCCAGAAAATGGAAGCAATGAACGTGGCTGCGCAAAGACCGGCGCCTAGGTAATACCAGTTGGATGGGCCAACCGCTCCAGCGATTGGTGATGCGCAGATGATGTACACGGCTGACAGAACTGTCTGCGTGGCAGATTGCCACATCACGAAAGTACTACGCTCGTGAACGAAGTGGATTTCCTATACCCTAATTAGAGAACGTTTCTCGCGCCTTTGTCTTGCTATCGTTACCTGGATCATCATGGGGACCAGTGCCTCGCTCTGACCTGCAGCAAACCCGAGGAGCATCCTAGCGCCAAGGTGCTCGTTGTAGTCTTTGGCATTTGCGGCCCAGACGGCTGATGCTATCAAGAGCAACAGCGACAGAAGGTAGACAGGGCGCCTTCCGATCGCAAGAGCGAGTGGCATGCAAACTAAGTTGCCTACGCCCATGAACATTGAAGGGTACGTCATCAGCGCGGTTATGTCGGCTGCACACCCGGTCAGCGCAGTCAGAGCATGTGAGGAGCTGAGATCACTGACCATATGTAGCTCCAGCTGCGGCATAGATAGGGATATACCAGGTAAGAAGACCTCCAAATCCGGACACGAGTGCGAGACCCAGACTGGAGAAGACCGAGACCAACACGATGAAGAGAATCTTGCGAAACTTCGATAGATTCAACGGGTCTATTGAGAAGACTCAGTACGTGAGGCGACGAGCTGCGTGCTACAGAGTACACGAACCTTGAGGATCAGCGCTAGGGGCTGGAATCAAGAAGATATCGTCGAGGTCGGTGATGGTCACAGTTCCCATCGCCGCAGGCTCCTGGATGGGCTTCACGATGCCTGTCTCAGCATCTGAAACAACCTCATATCGTTCGACTTCGGTCTTCATGGTCTTCGGGGTTTTGATGTCGTCGAGCATCTTTGCGAGGTAAACGATGTTCTCGCGCTATAGCAAGATGAAGGTGAAGTCAACGGAAATATAAACCCGCTCGTCCAAAACGGAAGAGCACAAATGGCTGTTAAGTTCGATGAGAGTGTACTATGCGCGCAGAGAGGTGGTTATATCTAAATATGCGCTTCGGCTCCTCTTCTTCAACGTTCACCTATTGGTACGTGGCACGTCTTCTTGTCGTCTAGCCCGCGTCCAGACTCGTGCCACGGCCGACGATTTCGTTGGCGTTTCCAAGCCTTGGTCTGGAAATCAATGCCACATTCACATCCCGGCTGAGCAGAACTCCACTTCACGAGCATTACGCGGCAGTGTCGCACGAATGTCTATCTGGGGTTTCTGGCATGACTGTGGGGTAGGTAATCCGGGGTAGCGCGTGCGTCGGAGAGTGGGCTAGCTCGCGGAAGGAGGGCCATGTTCAACCAATCAGTATCGTGCAATTCGCAACCATTCTTGGCTTCAGCTCCTGCGCGGCGCAACTGCCGAGATTCTTTACGAGTGTTTGCAGTTGTCTCAGGGAGCCTTTGCAATGTCACAAGCGGAGAACATACCCTGCAGACGATGCGCGGCAGGTCTATCGTTATGCCAATGCACGGTCGAAGTCACCACTACCTAGGTATCATTTTATCGTACAGTTCTGCGTCCACGGACGCGAAGTTTGCATGCGCAGAGTGTGTCACAGCAAGCATATTCACGAACAAACACCGAGTGACGTAACTTCGATGAAATTGTGCGATATATTGGGCTCATTCAACGCTCTATGCAACTGCGACAGGCACAAAAGGCAGTATGATCTTGCTCGGCGTGTCTGCTCCTACATGTATCCTGTGCTCGCCCTTGTTCTTCTCATGTTCCGGTCGCGGTTTCGAGAAGGCCGTGTACTCTGCAATACTAGGAAACTCACCGGAGATCTGAACGCTGATCGATTCTCCTTCGTCAAAATCGACACCCATGGACCAAATACCGATTTCTAGTTTCACGATCTCACCTGGTGTGATCTTCTCTTCCTTCTCGTGGGGGTGGAAGGGGAACTGCTCGTGGATGCTTCGCGCCGGGTCGAATGCCCGGTGGCTGGCACGCAATACGCCAACGCTGCCGAGGTGCAGATTCAGGCTCGCGCGTTCCTTCTCTGGAATATCATCGATACTTTTGTAAGCTGAGGGTATCGCCGAGAACGGGAAGCAGAGATGCATAAGCAGCTTTCCGTCCTTATCTTTCTTGCGCAGGATGACAAAGACATTCATGTCGTCGTGTGAAGGAGCTGACATGTACAAAACGGCTTTGGGCAGGCCAATGAGCCGTGACTTTTGCGTGAACTTGTAGGTGAATTCGGCGATCGATTTCGAGTCTTGCGAGTCGTAGCTGACCATCTCGGTCTTGGATGGGGGTTGTTCGGTCAAGCCGGAGCCGGACAGGTAAAGATCCCTGTATTGGGTCCCTGGAACAGGGAAATCCGAGAACTCGATGCCATCAATAGCTTCACGGTCGCCAAACTGGAGTGCTGACCATCGCACCCTAGCCATCTTCTCCCAGTCGTTGTCAATGCCCCGCAGATACTTATCGAAGTAGGTATGCAGTTCCTTATCCGCGTGAGGATCACAGTATAACTCGAACCATTCTTGGTGTGAGCTCCATCGAATCCACTTCTTGTCATGAGGTACTTCGAGCCATCCACGTACGGAGCCCATTGTATGGATGCTGGAAAAGTCGCTTCCGCTGATGAAGACAGGAACTTCGATCTTTGTCATATCAGGGCGCTTGTCGCTCCAATACGCGTTTGCGACAGGTGACCTCCGATGCATCTCAGCGAAGTCCTCGATGCCGCCGCCCGGATTGTTCGTCTTGATGATGAAGTGGGTGATGAGATCGAAATTTGACATGCTGAAGACGCCACCTCGACAGAATTGCTCGCGGTAGATGTCACCAGACCCTTCCCAGGGTGCAATGGCGGCAAGGTGTGGAGGTCGTAGAGAGGCAACATGCCACTGGATGATGGCCAGCGCACTGTTGCCGGCCATGCCTACTTTGCCATTACTCCATGGCATGTCTGCCACAGCTTCGATGACATCGTAGCAATCTTCTGCATCTTGAGAGCCCATGATCTGCCACGATTAGCTAAATAGTAGACTTTGCAATACAGAACATACGGGTATGGAACCGTCGCTGTTGCCCGTGCCGCGAGAATCTACCGAGATGATCGCATAACCACGTGGGCACCATACAACTGGATCAAGTCCCTCGAACTTCTCCAACCCACTGAGCGCTTCATTCGGCACGCAGCAATTCCAAACGCAGATTGGAAGCATGTGTAGAGCGGAGTACTTCTTGCCGTAGCATGACCAGCTTATCACTGCTGGTAGCTTTTCGTCTTCGGGAACGTCGGCGGGCCGGTAAATGTCGACATAAAGGCGACATCCATCTCTGACCACGATCTCGACATCGTGATCAATCCGTATGTCAGATTCGAGAGGGCGGGCGTTGTACGGTTTCGCGCCTTTGCGAAGAACTTCGGTTTTACCGGGTGTGAAGCCTTGGTAGTTGTTCACACCCGGCTCAGGCTTTGAGATGGGCTTATAGGCCACTTGCATAGCGACTGGCATCTTTGACGTGGGCAATGGTGAGACGTGTGGACGAGAAAGAGGAGGAGAATAGTAAGCGCAATCGGTAAAGATCCCAAGCTCCGTGACAGCTACCTAGGTACTTGAACAACAAACACATCTACCCGCAACGCGACGCGTCGAGTGCACTTTGCGACGTCGTGCCGTCCACCTCGGCAAGCGTTCTAGCCCGAAGGGTTGTCCATCCCCCACACGTCCCGAGTCCCACAAATCCTGCGGCATAGATACATATCGCGGGGTATGGCGCCCACATGTGCCGAGACGGTCGGCAACGCTGCCCCGACATCCCCAAACGATGACTATTGTCCCGAGAACAACATCATACAAGCTCTTCTTCAACATCCAACATATAACATCACTTAAGTGCAATCAAGGCCATTCCACCACAGCTTCATTCCAATACAGTTTCGACATCTCCTGCATTTGAACATTTCTAACCTCGTCACTCACAATACGCATTCAAGCCCTCGTCTTAAGAAAATGGCGCCTCACGCCGAGGAGCCAAAGCCAGATAGCGGTGTTGACCTAATCTCGTACGACGGTACCGTATATGGCGATTGGCGCGACGATTTTCACAAGAACGGCACAGCAATCATCAAAGGCGCCATCTCACCCGAACGCGCAGAGTACTACAAGCAAAAGCAGATTGAGTGGCTTCAGTCCTTTGGTCGCGGTTTCGATCCCAACGATGAGTCAACATGGACACAAGAGCACCTTCCTGTTAGCTTCAAGGGCGGGATGTACTTTGCCTACTCTAGCACACACGAGAAATTTGTTTGGTAAGTCTTGAATGGCATGCGATATCGGCAACATGCTAATGCAGATTCAGGGAAGCTCGCACTGAACCCAAGGTCATCGAAACCTTCGCGAAACTTTGGGGCACTGAGGAGCTGCTCTGCTCATTCGACGGCATGAACATCACCCTGCCGCGCCAGAAGGATCTCAAATGGAGCCCCTGGCCACACTGCGATCAGTCGCCTCACCGCAAGGGCATGCAGTGTGTGCAAGGTCTATTGAACTACCAACCCAATGGCCCTGATGATGGTGGCTTGATCTTGATGAAGGGCAGTAGCAAGCTGTATGATGAGTTCTTCCGCGAGAAGAGGGAGCAGGACAACCATGAGGACAAGCCTCCGGAGGAAGAGGACTTCAAGGATCTTTTCATCTTCAAGGAAGAGGATGTCCAGTGGTTTAAAGACCGCGGATGTACACTCGAGAAGGTGAACCTTGAAGCTGGTGACTTGGTGCTGTGGTATGTTCTTACCGTCTTCCCTCCCCTATTTGGTCCTTGAGTTAATGTCGCGCAGGGATTCTCGCACCATGCACTACGCCTGCTTTCCTCAAGGCAACCGCATCCGTCATGTCCAGTATGTCTGCATGACGCCCGCCAAGTTCGCGAAGAAAGAGGATCTCGAACTCAAAGCCGAGCTCTTCAAGACGTGGCAGGGTACGACACACTGGCCGCACTGCAATATCCGCAAACAGGGCCCACCAGAGAGAGATGGCAAGCCAGATCCACAGAATAGAACAGAGCCGCTAGAGAAGCCGGTTGTTACGGACAGGATTCTGCAATTAGCTGCTGTAAAAGCTTACTAAGAGCTGAAGCGGTCCATAGATGATGAAGGAATACGCCATCTTACAAGACTTCGAGGTCGTCTTTTGCGGCAGAAGAGTGAACTGTGGTGCATGCTTTCGTAGGTTCTTGTCTCAACTCTTTCCAATCTGGCCTTTGCCTTCTTTACCACGATACTCTTCCGATGTTGGATACTACCCCGTCCTCTTATCTACGTACGTTAGAAGTCCTCAATAACAAGAAGGCTCTGATCACTATTCTTGGATCATATAATAGCAACGGAAAGATCGCGGAGGCAGCAATAGCTTAACGATATACATCTCTCCTCTCTAGTGAGCATCTCGTAACTCTAAATACAGATAACGGAATGTCTCACAGCTAGTGAACTACGACAAAGGAACGCGCTGTATCATCCAATCGGTGTGTTGCCACTGGGAACTGAGCATCGAAGCGTGCTGTCTTTACTTCTCAGCCTTCTCACCTCGAAGGCATCTTGTCCAATTCTTGTTCTTCGATATTTCTTTGGCCTTGTCTAACTGCTGTGCACGAGACCACTTCGACTCACCTGGCTGCTTCAAATTTGGTTTTCGACCATTGGAGAAGAATTTCGTAGCACGGGCAGCCGCTCCGGCCGTTCTGGAAATTGCCTTAGCTACGGATATAACAGCATCGACAGCCGACCTGAACAGGTTGGCAATGGCGTTGATAAAGTTTCGTTTTTCAGTAGATGGGCTTTCTTGCGGTGAAGTCGAGTTCATGTTGGTGAAGTTGATGTTGGTGGAGTTGATGTCGGTAGAGTTGATGTTGGTGGAGTTGATGTCGGTGGAGTTGATGTTGGTGGAGTTGATGTCGGTGGAGTTGATGTCGGTGGTGCCGTCTCTTTTCTCCATAGATCGCTTTGCATTCTCAGCAGCCGCGTCGCCAACCTCCAGAAATCCTTTCGCAAAGTCTTCTTGAACGATATCGCTCTCATCGTCAGGCACCGCGTTTTCCAGCCATTCGTCGTCGATATCAGGACCAGGCCATACTTCAAGCATATCCCCGTTGATGCTGTCCAGCAAGTCCAATGAGAAGCCGCCGTCAGCCATCTCAAGCATGGCCTCCGTACCAATGGCAGCGGCAGTAAGAGGAAGACATACAGCCATACGGCGAAACTTTTTCTGGTTTCTTCCAGATCGTCTCTGTTTGTCCTTTTCCTCCCACTCCTTGTTCTTTTCTTCTTTCTTTTTCTCCAGGCGCTCTTTGATCATGTCCTTGAACTTCTCAAACTTTTCCTTGATCTTCTCCTTGATTTTGTCTTCGTAGGTTTTCTTCTTGTCCTCCTCACTCACATCTTTGTCTCTGATGCATACTGTCTTCGTGGGATCCGACTTCATGAGCGGTGGGCACTTGATGCATTTGGTCGGGTCGGACGGGTCTCGAATCTTGTTCTTCTTGCATCGAGCCTTTCTTTCACAGCTCTCTCCATTTCCCGCTTGTCTGTTAACTAAGGGAAATCGAGCTTCGCGGCCCAGCACGGAGCCTGGCTGTGAGATATCGAGATCGGATGCCGTACCCCTGTGGACACGTTGCGAAAGTAAAGTGGCTTCGCTGGGGGTATACGCGGCGATCAAATGATTCGTTAGGAGGAACAGTACTTTGATGGTCTTTGCAACATGCATGATGAGGGATTGGCAAGAAGCTAGCAGTAGTGTAAAGGTAGATTTTGATGTGAGCTGAGAAGGACTCACGTCGATGGCTTTCTTATCAATGTACCTAGGTAAGCTGCCAGCCTTTCTGATGCTGTGACTGCTTGCGCAGGGCTAATCTAATTTGAGTGACGAAACAATTAAGATACGTGGCGTATCCTACGATTGATCATATGAAAGGTATGGGGCTGCATTGGACGGCTCAACCTCTTCGCACGCGATACGTTGCCTCAACCGTTGGCGAGGCCACTCTGCTCTCTACTCAGACATCCTGCCACATGATGCACACTGCCACGAAAGCGACGCTGGGGCGGGTGAGCCCAACACAACGAACACTGCCTTCACGAGGCACGGATTCTGCCCTGTGTAAGAACCTGTGGGGTGGAAGCTGCCTATAGCCCCCAACCCACATAACCTGGCCGAGACCTCTATGGCCGCGCTGTGCAATCAAACTTCTCGGCCTGGTTCAGGCCCCATCTTACATACATATTTTCGAAACCAAAAGGTGCAGTCTGACACCTGGGCAGTCTCGGAATTTCGAACTTGCTATATCGAGCGCCACATGCTTACCTACGTACAGTCGATCAAGGAGGACTTCTTTGCTTGTTTGGTTGCCGATGCGAAAGACATTAGACTCACCGTCTAATCACGGTGGGGAAGTCTTGCTAGACTAAATACATGAACAAGGAGCTTTCGGTCACTAAGAGTTCATCAGCGTATAGTTTGATATGGAGCGTTACATTGAAGCGAAAGATCATTACACGAAGCAAAGCGTCTAATCATATCGCTACATCTGCGGCTATAACCATCTGGCGTCTAGACTTCATGATCAAGCTTGCGGAAATCATGTCGCGCAGAAACTGATGCATGTGGATTGCCAGCTGAACTAAACAAATACCCTTCAAACTCAATCTAAGCAAACAATCGCAATTTCATTCACTTCAGATCCGGAGCTTCCATGCCATCAACCGACCACAAGTCCCAGACTTCATAACTTCCATAGTTCCCCACGAGGCAGCCATCGTCGCCATACGCCAAGATATCCGAGGGCTTGCAGTCGTCGCCATTGAAGAGGACGACAACGGAGCCAAAATCTTTGTCACCTTCACCTCCGGCTTGTTCAGTTTCATTGTGTTCGATAATGATGGCTGCAGCTACCCCAGCGTTGTCGCGGTTGCAGCCAGTGCTGGCATCGACATCTCGCCAGCCAAGGTTGGCACCGCGGCAGCCCGCAGATTGACTATACGCCAACGCCAAAAGTCAGTAGTTGTCACACATATGGATTATGGAAGGCGATGACTTGCTAGTGATGGAGGCGATAAGCGTTGGCTATGCAGACCAAGTGCTGGAGGAGGAAGAATGCCTTCATGTTCATAGAGACTGTGTATGTGAAAGAGGTGTAAGAGTCGTCTTTGATTGCAACGATCTTTACAGTGAGGATGAGCGGTGGATTGCGTTTGATGCCTGCTCAAGAGTAGATCTGGGCTGTGAAGATTCTTGAAGGATCTCAAGGTACGTTTGTAGCCCCAGGACAAAAGGCATGGGTAACATCGCGTGGCTCGTAGCGCTCATGTGGTTAAATTTGGCAAGTAGTTGGACATGGCATCTATTTGAGAGCATCCCTGTAACTCCTCAGTATGCAAGTAATGTGGGGTTTGGATCGGAAATGAGTATCCGAAGATACCGCACCGCCTTCAGCTCAAGCATTTGGCCCGTGGGGGCACTTTTCATAACCGGGGGCTGGCCCCGTGGCTCTCCCGCAGCGGCACGGCCGCCGTCTTACTCTTGCGTCAGAGTGTTTCGAAACTTCACGTCTTGGCTTCTTACGAGATCTCCATACATGCATTGGAAACATTCTACGCAGATAGCCTGTGCCGCATTTATATCAGCAATTACAAATCTTGACCCCGGGAGGTACTGCGTATAGTCCTAGGATCGTGGAATGACTCCGTGCCACTCTATCGCCCCCATTCTGTGCTTTTGTCGGGGATCCTGGAAGCCTATGCCTCAGCTTCTTATGACATCTTCATGCATGCAGTGGGAAGTTTCGTATCATCATCCGAAACGTAAGGCTGACCTCTTCTTGGTCTTACTGAAGACCGAGTGTCGGCGGCTCCTCATATATGCTGACCAATTTTGGCCTTTTTTCAATACTGAGCAATCGCCTTTCGACGACAGTGCCTCATAATGCATCCGATACATTCGGAACAGGACGTTTGAGCGTCTGCAGAATCCATGCTGCCAATTTGGTCGATGAGACAAGCGTATACCAATACGGCCCCAGGGTGTTGTGCTACCTAGCATATCTCTTATTCGCCAGAATGGAGAAGCGGAATCGAAAGCGGGAATTGGCCAACTACTTGACCGCTCCGAAGTTCAATGACAGGAACAAGTAACCAAATCAATAGCTGGTTTGAAATCAATGACTAGGTACAGTGTAACTACCATGTAATTTGCAAACGCGTAGGAAAAGAAAAATGCCTACTCTTCCACAGCACCCAGCTCTACCACTAACCTCATGAAGGGCTTGAACTCCTCTGGCATCCAGCTGTGTAGGTCTTCGACATAATGTCGCGGGACTTTTGCCCCATGCTCTGCAAGGTATCGGATCATGTCATCAGATTTATCGTACATAGCCGTCGCTAGTGCTCGTAATGGGGCGGCTCGATGCTCACGGATGTCCGTGTTCCAGTCAGTAACATCTTCGTTGACATCTGCACCCGCTTCTAGCAACATCTTCACAGTTTCCATGTCGTGCTTCTTGACTGCTAGCTGCAGCGTCCCCGAGTCCTTGAACCAGTCGATTCCGAATCTGTCCAACAGGACTCGAATTGACGCAGCCTTCGGCCATGGCTGTTCAAAGGGTGCAAAAAACATTCCTCGGAACCTGCTCACACTTCCTCCATGGTCTATCCACCAGCGAGTGGCGTCAGGTCCCATGCGAACCATACCACACCAGGTTGAATTATGCGTAGTTGAATTGTAGTTTAACTGCTGTGGGTCTGTGCGCCATTGGCAAAAGTCCAGGTCGAACAAGATATCGAGCCATTCCACACCGTTTTTCCCATACCAGCCGCAAAAGGTGTAGGAGTCGAAGTAGTTGGGCGAAAAGCCGATCTCGAAGCAGAAACGGAGTAGCTGGGTGTCGCGTATTTCTGATGAGATTTTCATGAGAGGACGGGAATAGTATACTGGGTCTATGCCAGAAGATTCAAGAAGTTCTCTGATGGCAGGAATGTCGCCTTGAAATGCACTCAGGAAGATCGAAAGGATGATGGTTGTATCTACGAACTCGTGTAAGCAGTGAGACCCACAGCCGGTCATTCTGCATTTTGATCACACTTACCATCGTCTGTGGGCGGCTCATAGTTCTCGCTGAGCAGTAGATCTCGTACTTCTCTCTCGAAGCCCCTCAGATTCCATGCCTTTTTGTCGGCAGACTCTACCGTAGATTTGGGAAGCTTGTAGTAGGCCACAATGTGCCGCAAACATTCTTCCAACGTTCTCTCGCCACTCAATCTCGCATCGCGCGCTTCGCCAAAGCTGGAGAGAGTCGTTGACATTGCGATCGTTATCAGCGATAAGGCTCACTATGATGCCTAGGTATGTGAGAAACGCAAACCTTGGAAGTGAAACAAATTCAAGGCTGGTCGGATCCAGAAGGTGGGAAAGAGGGCGGGAAAGAGAGCGACGAAGATCTGTGTACTTTGAGCGCAGACGTGTACTCCGGGCTTCTACAGTTGATGATTTTGAGAGGTGTGCGGGCGGATATTAACCTGAGGGTGGCACAGTGACGCTAGTGGATTCATAGCTAGCGGTGTACACCTACAAGCGCTTATTTGACATCGGCTTGATGTTGCCTAACATGCCAAGGGTGGCGCATTCCAACCTTGGAGGTACCTAATTAGCCCAGGCGGACTCAGGGCATTGACGTTCTATCTATGTTACTACCCGATGCACGGAGAAGGCGTCGCGCGCGCAAGGATTTAGGGAGACAGAAGACCTCGGGAGGGCTGTTTCAACCCCGAATCCCGATATTTCAAGAATTATGTGTGTGACGCCTCAAGGTCGCGTCTCTTGGTGAGCATTGGGGGCTGTAGGGCTTTGCGATACCTCCCTAGGTAGGTAGGATGTGTTGAATCTTCTTGAGATGTGGCCATGTGCCACGGGACACATGCCTGCCTTTGTTTCAACGCGCGATTGCAAGGCAGATAGTCAAACTGGAGTTCCTGTACTATCAAGATACCGTGGCCAAAGATATCGACACAAGTCTCGCTGAAATCCTTGCTGAGAACTAGGTATATCTTCTCTCAACTCCTATCAGCATTGGGTAAACGTACACTGAATCAACACTTGTCGCCTGGACTGCGTCAATCCTTACGTTACTGCGTATATTTTCATCCTGCCATCGCTACCACGACATGAAGACCACATGGCTCACTATCCTGTGCTGGACTTACATCCGGCTGTCCACATCTTTCCCTGTCGATGACAGGCCCGCATTTACACCATGGGATCTGGCGAAAAGAGAGATCGAAGCAGCTATCTTCTCCAATCCTCTGGGACCCCAATTTGGAGTACCTGATGAGACGTGTCGTGGCACGCTGGAGGGCCCCAACACCGGTAGTTGCTGGAAGATGGCAGATGTCACAGTTGATGTGAGTAGTTTTACCCTCTTAATCTTTTTAATCCAATGACTAAGCTACCTAGAAATTCATCGCAAACCGAAAGCCCGAGGCCAACGAATGCGAGGTGCCCTGCCTTTTCTACACCTCGAAACTCACGGGAGCGGCAGAAAGGCTGGCCAATTTTGTTCTGAAGGAGGTACTTTTGACGGGGGCTGCGGAAGGACCGCGCAAGTACCAAACTATCTGGGTACGTCTCGCTAGGTAGAGTACAACCACGCGAGAATGCTAACTACTCACAGGAGCTACATCCGCCAAAGTTCTATCCAAACAAGAATGACCTGGACAAGACTCCCGAGGCCAAGTGCATCTACCAGGACCAGAGGGATCAGGACTACGACGCGAACTTCGATGGTTGCCAACGGCTATACTTCAAGTCAATGTCGAAGGCCATGGCAATGGAGTGCAAAGGCGAGGTCTTCTTGATGACCAATTCAGATCTGAGCGGTACTCGCCCCGAAGGAAAAAAAGAAAAAGTTCCAGTGGATGGAATTTGGTGGCAGGTTGAATTTCCGACACTGATCGATGATGCTCGACCCGCAGACAAGAAAATCACAAAAGTCAGTCCAGAGCCACGCCGTAGGTACCAATTCATGGATGTTTAGGTTAACAGTCCCTCTAGATCAGTTATCTTCAAGTACCTTTTAAAGACCTTGGAACGCTAACTGCAGAAGAGAGAAGCAAGCCCCCCGAGATTGAGGCGAGGGGGGAGTATTGGCCTAATGGAGTTGGCAACGAGCATTTGCAAAGCTTTCGCAACGAACAAAGTCCGCAATCGACGCCGAGCCCGCAATCAACCCCCACTCCCACCCCCGAGGCAGCCAATCCGGTTGAGACCCCTTCCAGCGGTCTTGTCAGGAGGGCAGATCGGACAGATGAAGAAGTCCTTGAACCTGATGACGAAGGTTATCCTTATCATTACTCCATCGATGAGATCTATGACTGGTACAAGGCAGCAGCGTGGTAGAGGCTGGGAAAGGAAGACAGGCAAGAAGATCGAAATTGGTTTGGTGGAAGGCCGCGACACTACAACGATTTTGCTGAGTCTCTTATTCCTCGAGTGGTATCTGGCGATGTAACTAGACTTTCCATATCTTTTTATCAGCTGGCGTTTATTGGTACGTGAATAGATTCGATGTCTGCAATTCGCTCAAAAAGCCATGTTAAACCCGGCTCAGCCTATCACATTGCACGTTGGCGTGCACCGCCACAAACGCCACGTCTGCATCTATAATTGACAACCGGCTGAGTGGACGACGCGAGCATCTACGTGTCAAGTCCACCGCGTATAGCGGGCATAGTCGCTGGGTGACCGAAAAAAGTCTCCAGTATTTGCCCGACGTACGACGGGTCGGGGCGATATGGCTGACATTGCGGGGTGAGCGGAGGCTTAGCTTGGGAAGTAGATATGTTGCACCAGCTATAAGTAGGAACGCCAGCACTATCGACACCAACCTTGCAATCTTTACTTCCTCTTGTTCGACATATACCAAGCTTTCCAGCAAATCTTGAATCCTTGGATCTCCACTCACAATGCCAAACGTCCGAATCGGCCCGACACATGAAGGCCGTGCTCGAGGACGCATGTTCTGGTCGCCTGCAGAAGAAGGGTCATGCGTGCGAAAAATGGAAACAGTTCGTCGGAAGGGCATCGTTGAAGGACCTAACGGATACCCGGTGGTTGCAATCTCGAGACGAGCGGAGGAGAACAACCTGATTTACCCAAATCCGGACATCTCGAGCACACGCTCTTTCCGGCTTAACCAACGTCTGACAATACCAATTTCGGCAAAAGGTCAAAATCTGGATGAGCCAAAACGTAGTACTGGAGACCTGAACCTTGAGCGCACAGTCACGTCGACACAAGCCGCGCGGAGCGATGATGTTGGGAGGAACGCCGCTCCAAAAAGAGCCTCGAAGAAGTCGTATGAACATTCCAGAGTTCTCCAGTCTCCTCAGCCGGATCTCGAGGTGGCAGGCGTGAAAGAATGTACTAGCCGACCCGAGATATCTTCGCCAGATACCACAGCAGATACCACAGCGCGCAACTCTTTCATCGGCGATGTATGGTTGTCGTTCGACCATATGATAAAGCACGTCGCGGCAGTATCTGAGGGGAAAACGACGCCTAAAAAGACTGTTGTGAGGCGTCCGTTGTCCCGGTTCTGGGTTGATGCAAAAGGTGTGATGGCTGTAGCTATTGCGTCGATGTAGAAAATCGGAGTTGCTGCTTAATGATGAAGTGTCTTGTTCACACGCTGGACTCTTGGTGAGCTTGAATCCAAGCAATGGCGTTACACACACGGTCTAGTGCTATTGGTCGCCTGTTGGTATCCTTCAGGTCTTCCCTATAGGATTCGAGTAACTGGTAGGACGCCGAATGCTCCTCGTTATGCAGCGCCAGGACTGTACGTATGAATATCCATATTGACTCTTGCTCGAGATCGAGACTTTTTGCATAGTTCAGTATATCGCCCACCAGCTCCCGCTGTAGCGATGTAGCTATGATAGGCATCAGATATAACAAGAAAGACCAACCAGAGATATCGCTTGGGTGTCTGCAACACCACTCCTTGACGCCGTGGGCGACATGGACAACCATCTCGCTACCTTCAAGCTTAGGTACTAGTTTACGAGCATACTGCCAAGCGTGATAGTTCTTCGGATGCTGCTCTCCAGACTTGTAAATAGCGGCGAATTCGCTCTCCCAAAACGTTGCTATTTGTTCTTGCGATGCATCTCCCAGTTCTACGAGTCTCAAAGAGTCCACGATGCTGGAGCGGTGGTACCACAGGGTCGGCGACTTGGACTGACGATGAAGTGGAGAGGTAAGTATGCTGTTCAGAAAGCACAGCTCTTGTCGTAATGCCCTATGGTATGGAGTGCCAACATGAAGACCATGAGTTTCTTGTAGCTGGAACAAGGTGCGTTTTCGATAATTTGCTGCAGTGAGATGCTCTGGGTCGAATAGAAGCATGACCTTTGTCGCTTGCAATGTCTGTGCAGCCGTGATAGGATCACGTGCCTTGCTATGCACGAAGAAATGTTGGCGGGCTTCCAGGTAGGCTAACGCAAGTATCTTCTTCGGCACTCCCAGACTCATTCCGTCTTGCATGGTGATGCCATCCGGTGGCTGTATAGCAGGAGGTAGAATCTCGATCTCGATAACTTCGTCTGCATGCTCCTGGAAGTACTCGCTCAACGAAGCAAAAGCCAGCCTCTGGAATTCCTCTTGCTGCCCGCATTTGGTCGTCATGGCGGAAGATCTGATTTCGTGGGTTCAAAGTGAAAGCTGCCCAGCTGTCGCAGAAGGAGGACCCTTGCGCACGACCCCACCGCGTTAGCTTGCAGCTCCCAAAACCGCCTGGGCACCATTATGACATAACCCTTGACTTCAACACGATGCAGTGAGAACACGCTGCACCGCGATACTGGTCCCCATCCCTCAACATGCCGTCTCTCCTCCTGGTTGTCTTCACCCTGCAGCTGTTGCTCCACATCATCAACACCGTGGGCGCATCCACGGTCAACGACCTGGTAAGCCCCGCATCCGAAAACAAACACGCAGGAACCTGGGACTGACACATGGCAGCTATGGATCCTGTACAATAAGCTGCCGACGCCAACATCTGGGTCTGCGCAGAGATGCCAGGCCCTCAAAAAGGATATTGTGCGCTTGAAGCGCGAGCTGGGCAACACGTCGCCTCAGGACAACTTCTCAAAATGGGCCAAGCTCGACAGGCAGCACAACAAGGCTATGGCTGAGTTCCAGAAGCTAGGTAAGCGCTCCTGCGCGGAGACGCTCCCACCGGACACGTCAAGTGCACTTGCTAACGCTCTTCTCTCCAGATGGTTCCCTGCGCTCGCACCAGTCCACCTTCACTTCCGCCGTCTCGACCCTGCGCTGGCTTGGCACCCAAGGCCTTCGATTTGTTCTACAGTTCTGGTTCTCCAAGTCGCCTATGTTCTGGGTACCTGCTGGGTGGGTGCCATACTACGTCGAATGGGTGCTGAGTTTCCCGCGCGCACCTCTGGGAAGCGTGAGCATAAACATATGGGGTATCGCGTGCGCAAGTATGATCGCGCTGGCAGCAGAGGCAGTAGCTGCGGTTTGGGTACTGGTCATGCGCAAACCAACACCTGTGGCGGCAGAGAAGCAGCGCGAGAAGCACGATGCTATGGCCTTCAGCGCAGACCAGAAGCCTGCAGAGAAGAAAGAATTGTGAGCGCGCTACGTGTCCGATTCCGCGTGTATATTTCATACAACTTCAAATCAAGTAAAAATTCAATATGTCTCCCAACAAAAGACGCAAAGTCGTCGTGGCTTTCGCTCAGACACTGCAACACGAGTGGGATGATCTTGGCAGATCCTTTGGCTTCTTCTAGGCTACAAATTGAACTCGTGATCGTGGAGAGTAGCGTATCACCGAGTCTTCGAAAGAGCCATCTACTAATCTAGATTCCTTGACTAACATCCTAAAAAGAACGACGCGGTGCACGGCAGCTGGCATGAAACTGCATCGTCCAACCGCATGCGTATAATCTCGTTGGAAGCGAAGGGTTTTGTTTGGTGTGGAATGGTCGCACTGGAAGCTTGAGAGGGAGAAAAGTGAAAATTCCGCGCTAACAGCTCGCGGCCCGACAGTGCCCCCGAAGAGCGCTTACCATATTTGGACTATCGCGTCTCATTGGCACGTATAGACAATGTGAAGAGCTCCATGAACTTAAGGAACGAGAAATTCTGCGTCTGAAAGTCAAAGGTTGCTAGCTAGAAGTTCAACGGAATATTTGTCTATAGCTAGTTCTCCCACTCGCTCCCTCGGATTATGTCACGTGCGTTTAGACCGTGCCCGAGGTCCAGGGCTGACCGGCTTGAAAATATCGCAGTGTACATCTGCCGTGTCTCGCGTGTCGTCGATCGTGCCTTACATGAACATGATCGACTATTCTGGCCGTTGATCACCACCATTCAATAGCATACATCCTGGTTTAGCTCTGTCAGCTACAGTGTAGTCGCTTGGAATGCAACACGGGACGGAGATGGGTGTCACCTCGTGTCGTGTGCTGCTTGCCTAACCGCACCAGGTAGAAAGTCTGCCGAAAACGAAGTGAGTCAGCCTCCGACTCATTGTCGTCGCGTTTCAATGCGCTTTGACAAGGCCAAGCGAGGGAAGCCGCCAAAGTCCAATAATGAGGCTCTACCGCGTCTTGTGGTGGGTCTGTGCACGTCTTCCCCATATCCGCATGAATGGTTCAGCGCTCGCCGGTTCCAGGCCGATCCAAATCTGGCTGTCGTGTGTGGATGAGAGTTCCCCGCAATGTGGGATGAGATTGCTAGGTGCAGTGATCGCTCAAAGGTTGCGCACCTCGCTCTGCTTACGTGCACAGGGCTTCAGTAGGGTTTGCAGAGGTGTAGACGGCGTCTGGGGAAGCATGATCGCGGCTGGTTTCTCGAGTCAAGTGCGTGCTGGCGTCCCCCTAACCTCGCTGGTTTCATGCTGCGGCCGCGAACAAACTTCGTCGACATGATGGCGGCCGCTGTTGCATGTGCCACCTGTCGCGCCCAATGCCCTCACCCGCTGCATCTAAAGCTGCTCACCCAAGGCGAAAGCCGAGAAACTTCGAGACTTGAGCGCACGAGAGCCATGGCCCACGGACGAGGACTGACTCCGTGACCGGCCTAACGGCGCCCAGTGGCAGCGCCGGCATTTCGGTGAGATTGTATCGGGACAGGCGCTGTGACGAAATGGCGTTTCTCTCCCCACACGGTGGACAAATGCTCCTCCCAATGACGTTTCGAGGATTCAGACGCCGGCCCAAGGCCGTCTAATGCGTTTACAAGTCGCGCACTTAGCGATGCGCACTCCACTTTGCTCGCCGCTGCTCAACCGTCCGCCTTTCCTGGGGTCGATAGTCCCTTCACCGCATCGACCCGCGTGGCCCTGCACACTGCTCGACTCGACGCAGCCGTCTCCTACACCACCCGTTGTCGGCACCCTGTCCATCGCTCCTTCCCAGACCACACCCATCGCCCGTATACGACCCGTCGACGAGGCTGGCGCCAGAGAATGCCGTGGCCTGAATATCAGATCCCGAGACGACCGCGCCCGCGATAGAACCAACGCTCTCCGCAAACAATAGCCCGTCCTCCTCTATGGCATCGATATACACGTTATAGCGCGGCGCACGACATGACGGATCTTGACTTCACCAATGGCGACTTCCCTACGCGAGGACCTGTGGTACTGGGAGTGTCAGCTGCGACGCTTGCCATATGCTCCGTTTTCGTTGGCTTTCGTCTCATCTCCCGATTTCTGGTGGTTAGAAAGCCGGGATGGGACGACTACACAATGATCCTGGCCTGGGTCCTCGCGTTTGGCGCATCCTTCTCGATATGCTACGGCACTACCAAAGGCCTGGGGCGGAAGCAAGAGAACATACCCGCGCAATGGCAAGAGCCCATGAAGAAGTCCTCCTTTGTCTTCTCGGTACTCTACGTACGTACAGGACTTTGTATACATAAGCCGCCAGCACTAAATCCCCACAGAATCCAGCTTTGATGGCCACCAAAACCTCGATCCTCCTCTTCTACCTCACGCTGTCCAAGACACACAAAGTATTCCGATGGGCCACCATTGCCACCCTTGTCGTCGTCAATGTCGGCGGGCTCGCTCTGACAATCCTGAATCTATGTCAGTGTCGTCCTGTTGGCGCCGCTTGGGCTTCTCCCGTTCCCGACACTGCTCACTGCACCAACATCGTCACGATATACCTTTCCTCGGCACCGCTCAACATCATCACCGACATAGCCATATTATTCCTGCCGATGCCAATACTCACTAGTATGCGGCTGCCGAGGAAACAGAAGGTGATCCTCGTTATTACCTTTGGTTTCGGTATCTTTGTCGCAGTCGTCGATGTCATTCGTATCGCATACCTGCAAGATGCTCAGCGCGATACTCTTGAAGCCGCACAACGGCAGTCTTCCGAATCTGGCAACGAACAGAGGAACACTGGCGATTTTGCGTGGTTCTCATCTCTATCATTTATGTGGAGCACCATTGAGATCAATTTGGGTATCATGTGTGGATGCGTTCCCGCCCTGAAACCCCTAGTCAAGAGATTCCTACCTAGCTGGGTCATCGACCATACTATGCGCGACAACACTACCCATACAAGCGATGAAGCTGTACTTCATCCCGACATACTCGATTCTCGGCGGCGCTCAGACCCCTTAACGCCTCCCGCTTCCCCACTCAGCAAACCTCCTCTCGCTCGTAGAAGCGGTGGTGATGAGCCGATGGGTATGATGGACTTCTTGACTACGCCTGACATGACCGAATTGCCTCAACTGAGACCGTCCAACACCACTGTTACCTACGCCACCACCACCCGCACCCAGCGCCCACCAACATTTTTCGACTTCGTCAACACTGGGCAGAAAAAGAATATCACCCTCCGGAGCAACCGAGAAAGTGTATATCCCGTGATCATGGTAACCATACTGTTCTTCATCTGGGGGTTTGCCTATGGTTTCCTGGACGTACTCAATTCGCGCTTTCAAGAAGTAGCTCGCACGAGCGAGTGGGAGACAGTTGGACAACACAGTGCCTATTATGTTGGCTACATTGTGGGACCTTTGACTTTTGGACGGATCGTCTTCAAGGCCTGGGGGTTCAAGGCATGCTACATGGTCGGTCTTTCAGTCTATGCTTGCGGAACCCTCGTCTTCTGGCCTTCAGCTGTGCTCAATTCCTTCCCAGCGTTCCTGATCTCAAACTTCATTACCGGTGCGGGACTATCGACATTGGAACTTGGCGCAAACCCATTCATAGCACTATGCGGACCGCCTGAGTATGCGGAAGTGCGATTGAACCTCTCACAGGCTGTTCAGGCTGTCGGCACCATTGTTTCCCCACTTTTGGCGAAGAAAGTGCTCTTCCCCGCCAACGCTGCTAGCCTCATTGATGTGCAGTGGACATATCTCGGCATATCTCTCTTCAACATCGCTCTTGCAATCATATACTTCTACGTACCGCTTCCTGAAGCTACCGACGAAGAGCTAGAACTAGCCAGTCAACGCACTGTGCCATTTGCCCGCGAGGCCACCATCAAGATTGGGTCCAAGCCAGTCAAAGTTCTTTGGATTGGTCTGAGTATGGCAGTCTTATCTCAATTCTGTTACGTTGGCGGCCAAGAATCCACCTCCACTTCGTACAAGGAGTACCTCAACCGCGTCGCGCCCTCCGTGGATTATGTGTCACAGCAAGCCTATGGACACACTGCTTTCGCGGTGTCTCGGTTCCTGGCAGCCTTCATCGACATTTGGGTAAAGCCACGCTTTAGTCTTCTGGTTTTCTACCTGGGCGCAATTATAACCGCTGCCGCAGCAATGCATGCTTCTGGCAGTGGCGGTGCAGCCATCATTGTCATCGTCATGTTCTTTGAAGGCCCGCTTTTCCCGCAGATTTTCGCACAAGGGATACGGGGTATGGGCAAGCACACCAAAGACGCTTCCGTGATTCTGACGGCAGCTATCGGTGGAGGGGCCGTTATCCCACCGATAATGTATGCCGCGCTCAAGATCAAAAACGCACAATACGCTTTCTGCGTCATTGCAGCGGCTTACGCTGCTGGCGCATTGTATCCCATATACCTCAACTCACTTGCCGCGTCTCGGCAGTTATCTGATCCCGTACGCGACGAAAAGACCAGGAGAGAATCAGAAGCCGAGGGTCGGCGGCGAGGGTCGATGAGCGAAAAGCTCAGAAGGTGGAGTAAAGTCAAGAAGAGGCTGAGTGTAAATAAAGAGGATGAGAGATTACCTTCGGTTGAACATCGCGAGAGGCGCAGTTGGCCTGAAGGCCTGGCGCCGCGGAGCGATAGCCTAGCCATCGAGCCCGTGCAGACTCGTACACCGAGCTCATCAAGCTCTGTGAGTAGTAGTTGAAGGCTCTGCTTGAGAGGGCTTGTATTTATATCGCATACGGAGTTATAGGGAGATACCACGGGACTGTTAACGGCTTAGCATGGGTGGCTAATTCACACATGGAGTAAAATGCAATTATTCTTACTATACCACCATCAAGACTATATCTTCCGACTCATATTGCATTAGTGGTGTGGAGCAAGAGAATGTGGGCATACTCGCAGAAGTGTCCGCGCGCATAATCTGGATGCCTCCCCTATGCTCAACTCACACTCTTGTGCCACCCATCCAATCTCTCACATGCCCTGACAACCAACCAGACGGCAGCGAGATCCGCCTGCTGTACCACTCTCTTGAATGGAGTCCCAATACGATTTTCCGGATTTCGTAGAAGTTGGAAAAGGAAGGTACATTTCCCATTCCCATAACGTAGCTTTCAGGTTCAGTACTCAGGTGAACAACCGGAACCACCTACGCACACAAGCGCGACATGTTTTAGACGTTTATCATCACTTGAGCATCCTAAGTATGTGCAAAGAAGGTCTATCTGTACTTTACTTTGTCGAGGGAGCAGCTCATTTCGTGCACTCCAGCCTAAAAAGTATGCCTGATGGCATGTTGATATACTATAAGTCACGACACGTTGTATGCTTTTGCGATTGAGTATGCATACTAAGACAGCTGGCAGTTGATTTACGATGCATACACTTCCATGCATCAAAAGAGTAGTCATGTGAGAGAATGCCAAGAAAGCTCAAGATATTCTCAATGTATGAAGAATCGCTTAGAATCGCTATCATTATGCAAAAAGTGTACAAGATCTCGACCACCAAACGCCTTGCCATGCTTATGCACATTGAAACCCCCTTTCCGTATTATATACCAACTATCCAATTAGACGACTTCAACCGTCGAAGAAGGTCATAGAATCAAGGCGGCAACAATCGCAACGACGAAGCCAAAGTATGTGGCGCTGGGCTGAAGCAGCACGTTGCCCAGAGACGCAGTGCCGCAACATTCGCGGTCATATGTAACGTTGTTTGCGCGGGCGGCGACTTCGAAGACGGACCCGTTGATGGGCCCTTGGTTGTAGAAGTCGACGAGGAGGAAGTTTGGTGGGCGGTCCCAATTGGCTGTGGGGGGATGTGTTAGCAAAATGCAAGATAGAAAATGGGTACGGGGATACATACTGGTGCAGGTGTTGGTCATGCGACCTAGACTACCTTCTCCTTCCAGCGCATTGGTCTGGTTGATCTCCGCCACGTTGGGCACGAGGAGGTTCAGTCCAGCGAACGAGATCTCGGCGTTCAGGTTGTGGTTGGCCATGTACATGATTTCCCTCATCTTTTCTTCGGACATGCCCTCGGGTCTACCCAGCGTGCAAGGGAAATCGGGGTCGGTTGGGGAGAAGGGCGTCTCCCACATGTTGTAGAACTCCCAGAGCAGGTATGGCACCGCATCAGTGTCGAAATTGTAGTCAATAAAGGTGACGACACGGTTGTTGTGGAGAATGAGTTCGCCAAGCGTTGGCCAGTCGTTGAGCTCCATGGCGGTCTTGGGTGGCTGGTAGACGTATTCGATCAAACCGGACTTCTCGATCGCCTCGGCGAAGTTGGAAGACGTAACGAGTGGCTTGCCGTCATCGGTCGTTTCGTCCCAGTTGGAGTTGCCGAAGAGAATCGTGATGACGTCGAAGGGGTGATCTGCTACCCATGCCGTGACTTCGCGGAGGTAGTCTTCAACGGTACCGGCGTTGAGCAGGTCGCATGAAGAATGGCAGTAGTAGAGCGTGCCATTGACGTAGTGGGCTGAGCCCTGCAGCATGCGGATGCCATCATTCAGTTGTTGCGTCACGCCGTATTCTTGGTTGCGCGCAATGTTGTTCTTTCGTGTGTAGGGCGAGTTGTGCGCAGCTACTTCGGTAATATTGGAATACTTGCGGTTGCAGAACTCGAGGTAGTTGTTGCAAGGCTGAGTGTTGGAGGGCAGCGCTGGAGCGGTCTCGGTGCCAGTCGGTGTCAGTGTTCTGTTGTTTCCTCCGATGTTTGTGACGGGTGGTGCGCTGCTTGTGATTGAAGCCGTGCCGTTGGACGAGGCTGTGCTACCAGACGCCCCAGACGACGCGGCCGATGTTACTGTCGCAAAGGTGCTGCCCTCGAAATCCGAGGGGACGGTTGGGTTTGGAGCCGCATCATCGCCTGTCAGACTCCGCTGCGACCCAGATAAAGTTATGACTGAGGGAGAGACCGAGGCCGAGCTACTCTGGGCTGCAGTGAGGCCAGCAAGCCACACCATGGAAAGTATCGCCCCTTTCATGATCGCCGCAGGGGTGATGTGTTCTTTAAATCCACGACCGAGTTATGGATTCGCAGACAGGAACAGATATCGGCTATGTCAATCCTGCTCAAGCGATAGTCGTGATGGTGCAGTCGTCCCGACGTATGCAGTGAAAGCGCCGGCGACTTTGGTTGCTATGCAGTGCAGCGCAGTGCCGTCCGATCCGAGTACGGGGTAAATGAGTATCGACTACAACGTCGTATGATAAAGCCGCGACCGAGTTCCCCAGGTGAAATGATGCGGAGAGAATGCAATGAAGAAGCAATACTTTTTGGAGAAGAGCCGCTGCCGTTGAGAAATCCCAGACGACGATTGTTTTCCAAGCGCTCGAACGGACCATCCGGGACTCCCTAGTTAGGCAGAGTGCCATGACGTAAGGCGCTGTTTTAAGGTTGCAAGCCACGCGGGTGTCTGCTCTCATCCAACGATCTGCAACAGCCGCGCCACCATTTTAGCGCGACACGTCATGTGCGCGAGTCTGGAACCATCAAATTGGGTGGCTGCAAGAATGGCCCACCTGGAGATCTCTAGGCATATCAACAATGATCCATCGCATACATGTGTGAGAATGCATCCGTCACTCGGGATCGTTAGGCTATAAATGAGTTTCTGCATTGATGAACAATGCAATTCATGTATAGGTATTCAGGTACATGTTAACATGGGCAAGTATACCGCCTAATTGAGACTCCACACGCGTACGCGACCATGACTACATCTCACCGCTGGGTAGATTCTTCGTGGGATGGCTCTATGCACTAGACGAACCACCGCTAAAGAACTCTTCAAATCGACTCTTGCCCTTCAGCTGCTCAATCTCCCTCTGCAACACATCGATCCGATAATTCTTAAACGCCTTCTCAATCCTCTCCTTGCTGGCCGGGTCTTTGGTCACGGTCCTTGCTGCGCTTGCTGTACCTGTCAAAAGACCCAGTTCGCCTCCAAGGAAGAGACCGCCAACAGAAAAGAGAAAGTAGGTCGCTGCATCACCCCAGCGCGAAGGTCCGGAGATCTGTGCTGTGATGTCTGGAACAGGCTCGGTACGGCCGTCAGCGAAGCGTACTTCTACAGGCTTCTCCGCGGCGCGGAAAGCTTTGAAGTACGCAAGGCGCATGCTTCGCAGCCGATATGCTGTGTAGATTCCTAGACCCAGTCCGACTGCTGACGCGAAACCAGCGTGCATCGACGCCTTTCCACCTGCGCTTTTGAGTACTTCGCGGTCTTGTTGGTTGAGACTATCTTGAATAAGCTATCGCCAATCGACGCGCAAATCTGGCGCTACTTACTCATGTTGCAGGTGCTCCTCTGCCAGCTGACGGAGATCTTTCGACCTACGGTCACGGAATGCTGCTAGTGACTCAGCCATGTTATCTGTCCGGGTAATCGTAGATATAGAAAGCTTGATGGTAGGAACAGATGAGGTTAGGTGGCTGACAATTGCTGGCACTCGAGGGCCCTTTTAACTGAATTTTGTAGTTCATGATAAGTTCGTGATGCTTCTAGTCGCAACGATGACATCATGCGGACATCGCGGAATCTAACCGGGAAAGCTCCAACAACACGCGGGCACGTGGAATGACAGACAGACAGGCCGAGAACCTGGTTCACTTCAATTCAGGGTCCAGAGACCAAGCCATGCTACGTATAACCAGAAAAACAAACTTGCTATGCTCGTCATGCTTCCGTCAAACGCCTTGCTCAGAAGAGCTCGTAAACGCCGTGGGACCATCAGAGGTCGCCTAAGGATATCGCCCGTTCAAATGTTCAGCCTCGAAAACAGGAAGATGCTCTATAGTTTGGGCTTGACTTCTGGTTCTGCAGCACTGGCTTCTTGGTTCCGAGTGACGTTACCGGTGCCTGCGCCTTCTCCAAAGAAGATGACCTCGACGGTCAAGTCGTCCCTGTATCGTCGCGAAAAGGGGCTGGGGAGGGTGAGGAGAGCACTTAGTTGATCCTGATCCTTTCCGCCAAGTGCATTCCGAACAAGATGCGTAGCTGCGTTCTTGTCTTCAACCACGAAGCGCTCGTTCAGGCTAGTCTTGGTACCCCACTGTTGTTGACGGATTGGTGCACGTTGACCCTCTCCCTTCTCCGCTGCCTTCTGCTCGACAGGCAATTGCTTTTGTGTGGACCACCAGCTCTTGAGCCAGGACTGAGTCTGTGAACCTTGACTGGCCGGGTTACCCTGAGCGTCGAGCCACTGACCAACTAAGCCTACGACCTCCTCGTTGGTAAGCATCTCCCATAGACCATCAGTAGCCATGACGACGAAATCACCCTTTTCCGGCTCTACCCTGGTAGTTGTAATGACCGGCTCGGCAGTGACGTATGGAGGAGTCTTGAGTAGTGTTGAAGGCGATCGCGAAAAGTAAGACTTCTTGAGCTCGGCGTTGGTCTCGGCGGACCACTTGTAGGATGCATCGCCAAACGCCCGGGATGGCTCCAGTCCACCTAGAATGCGACCGTTCCGGACCACGTTGGGCTCACCCGGATGCTCTCGACGCAACCGCTCAGCCTCACTTGTAGTTCCACCGGTCTGATCTTCAGACAGGGGAGTCACGGTCCACTTGCCATTGGGCCCTCGTCGGCCCAGAATCGCGCGAGAATCACCCGTGCAAGCGACTCGCAGGAGTTTGGATCGGCTGTCGTAGAAGGAGAGGAGTGCGCAGGAACCGGAAAGAGCGGGGGCCAGCAGCTCAGCAGCAGCAATCTTGGATTGAGCCTTCCGGACCTTCTTGACAGACTCGTGTACGATCTCGTTGTCTAGTTTGGTGAAGCCGGTCTTGATGGCGCGGTCGATAGCATCGGGGCTCGGGAAGTGGAGCGCAGGGTCCTCGACGGCCGACTTGTAGGTCGTGTTGAGCTCGCGTGCGACGTAGGAGATGAGGGTCTGACGAAGCTTGGCTGAGGTAACCCAGCCACTGTGGAGGTTAGCACTGGCGAGACATGCGACCACGATCGACACCTACCTGTGTCCGTCGAAAACGCCCCAGAACATCCAGTCGCTAGCCGAGGCGCCATTGTCCGTGGCTGCCAGGTTCGATGGTACCTCGATGATCTTTTCGGCATGGTCGTCTTCGATGGGGGAGTTGCTGGGAATCTGCACCACGTCGTACCGCACAACGCCCTGCCCTCTGCCCACGAGCCACGACTCCTCGTTCTTCCTCAGCTTGGCTGTGGCTTGGTCGGGGTCCAGCATCTCCAGCACCTTCCTGCCGTAGTCATCCGTCTCTTTCGAGATGGGCCCAGTGATGGTTCCTGTGTAGAGCTCGCCGGGACCAACGACCAGTGCCTTGCGCGCGGGCTCGCTGCTTCGGGCGCTGGTCAGGTTCCTGGCTTGGTCGGCGGGGGACTGCGCGTGTCCTGTAGAGGATTTGTCGTTGTAAGCGTAGAAGGCACCCGAGGCGACAGCGGCAGCCACTAACGCACCTGTGAGGGCGCGGAACTGCATCGACGACGCGAGGACGATGGGCGAGGTGCGCTGGCGGTAGTGATGGTGAGCCCGGAAGCCTAGGCCATTGCTCGGCGCAAAGACGCCGACACGGCTGCGGGCAAGCTTACGCAGGCACGGGCGACGTGCAGAGCGAAGCACTTGGAAGGCAGCCCGCATCTGGCAGGTGGGGTGAAGGGGATTGGGAGTGAGGTTGGCAGCAACAGTAGTCCACGGGTGAAATCATGGTGCAGGCTGGGAGAACGCCTAGTCCAAGCGCTTAAAGCGGGGACCCAATCATCCCCTGCGAACAATCTAAACCACTACGACGTCATCACGTTACCCCAAACACTTAATTTTCGACACTCCAAAATGTCTTCACGAGCGTTGCGGCGGGCCCAGCGAGAGCTTGAAGAGAAGCAGATACAGGAACAACTTGCCCAAGATGACCAAAACGAGGAAGAGTCGGAGCCTGAGGTAGCCCCCAAGACAAAGGCGAAACCCAGCCTGTTTGCTATGTTGGGCGATGGTGGCGACCAAGATGAACAAGACGAAGAGGATGAAGGAACAGATCAAGACGCCGCGCGCAAGGCCGAAGATTCCGATGATGACGCGGAGGTCGAGCCTATGCCTGCATCGAAACCCTCAAAGACGAGCAAGAAGAAGAAAAAGAAGGCCAAAGCCAAGGGCAAAGCTGCAGAGGCTGACAAGCCCTCCGCCTCTACCACAGGAAAGTCAGATCTTGATGAGATTGATCGGGCATTGCTTGCCCTCAACCTCTCTATGAACAGCCAAACGGGACCTGGGTCAGATCAACACGACCCCATTAGCGAAGAGAAGAAGCAACTCTTCTCTGTGCTGAGTGTGGACACGCAACATTTACATGCCGCAAACGAGATGAAGAGGCTCTTCGGTCGAGCCGCTGTGCAAAGTGCCGAAGACGAGGCGCGGCCTCGACAACGTGGTCAACAAGGTGGCATCGCTGCTGCAATTGCAGGACGTAACGCTCCTGGCAATCGCAACCTCGCATCGTTGGGACTTCGACGGAACATCTTCATCCAAGGTAAAGAGGAGTGGCCACGAGCTACATCTGGCGGCCTCGGCATGGAAATTGTCGAGAAACGAGCGGATGGCACTGTCGAATACAGATTCTTTCACAACAACATGTATCAAGATGTTCAGCGGCAGTTCCAGATTTGTGTCGCAAGTATGGATTCTGAGCGTATGATCCAACTCTTGCACCACAACCGTAAGTTGAGCCACTTTTCATGTCATATAGAGTACTAACGTCATTCACAGCCTTCCACATCTCCACTCTGCTTCAAGTCTCAGAGATCGCTAAGCAACAGCGAGAACCTGCTGCTGCGTCCGAGATGTTGGAGCGCGCTCTCTTTACTTTTGGGCGCTCCGTACATTCTACCTTCTCTGCGAACCTGGCGGCTGGTAAAGCCCGGTTGGACTTTCGCCGTCCAGAAAACCGCGAGTTCTGGCTTGCGGTATGGCGCTACATCAATACATTGGGTGTTCGTGCGACGTGGCGAACATCGTTCGAGTGGGCTAAGATGCTACTTGCAATGGACCCTGAGAATGATCCTTACTGTCTTCGACTCCTCATCGATCAACTAGCCTTGAGAGGGCGAGAACCGGGCGCCTTAGTCAACCTGGTCGAAGCAGACTACCTCCAGCGGCAGTGGAAGGTTCCACCGAATCTCGCTTTCAGCATTGCGCTTGCTCACGATCGCATTAAACAGCCACAGAAAGCACGCTCAACATTGCGCAACGCAATCAAAGAATATCCATGGCTAGCAGCGCGGCTGTGCAAGGAGCTGGACATTTCCCCGATACCAAAACCTGTGTGGGGAAAGGAGCCAAACGGCGAGTATCAAGAGCTGCTATGTCAGCTGTATGTACCCAAGGCCAAAGACCTGTGGAACAACACCGAAGGGACGACTTTGCTAGTGGAGATGTGCTACGCTTTTGAAGAAGAGCTGGGAGCAGGAGAGGATCCATACTGGCTTGCGCAGATACCAGAGACGGACCTTGCTCGACATGTCATCCTTTCGGATAACCAAACGCTTATGGCCCTTCTTGACCCTCGCGTCAAGTCCAAATTCACATCCGTTTCCGATCCACTAGCTCCCGATGACAATATAGCGTCGTACGATGCTTCTGTAGCTGGGCGCCCTCATGACCCCGCCTTACGAGAACGGCTGCTCGCCGAACTTGAGCAGTTTCGATCCTACTTTGAACGCATAGGGATAGATGGGCTTATGCGGCAAGGTGAGGACAATCAAGGTTTGGTACGGGCGTTGGAAGCAGCGGGCAGCAACATAGAGGAATTTGAGGAGAACACACGACGCTTTCTAGTTCTACGACGGAGGTTGGATCAAGAAGGCGTGCAAATAGTATTCGACGAGCAAGCAGCTGATGGCAATGGCACTGGCTCGGAAACGGATGAGTAGCGCTGAAGAGTCATTGTGCGCACTGTGCGACCTGGTCAACGGGAACGCATCATAGCAAACGCGTCTCATGTCACAGAATGACGCTGGATACTTGGAAGTAGAGTTTGCTGCCCAGGCGACACATGATGCCTAATCTGATGGAATCATGGATCTCATGTCTTGATAGTAATGCGTGATATTACATGTGCAGCCCCACGCGTCGTCTGCAAGGGTGCATACATGCAGAGCTTCCCTGTACAGGCGACGCGGCATCTGAAACACATGGGACTCTGGAGTAATAGAGTCAAATCAGAGTCAGCCACGTCCGTGCTTGGGTGCGCTAAGAAAGTTGAGACCCTCGTGGCGCTCATGACAGTGACGTACCCAAGGTTTGTTTATAGATGCAGGCTGAGGTGCTGCATCTCCGCATAAGCCGCACCGCACCGCCTCAGGCCGTCCATCGACCCTTTCCACTACATGTATATTGTCCGCACGTGCTCTTATACCTGATTCGCCCTCGGTTCCTTCCTACTGCCAGCGGCAAACCTGACTGAAGCTTGCCAGCCCCCTCACTCGTCGCCATGAGCGGCGTGCGTGCCCACATCGCCAGTCGGCTGCGCAGCTCCTCGCTCTCCGCAGTACCCCCACCACAGCACAGTTCCAACTACTCACCAGACCTGGCCAAGATCGCTGCTTCCGTTCTCTACCGGTCGCCGCTGCCTTCGCAAGAGGGAAGGCCCGTCTTCATCCTCAACGCCGCCGCTCTCCCCGACTCGCACGAAGCCGACTACGACTCCCTGCTACCCTATGTCCTTGCGCGCCTGCCCGAGGAAGACGAACTGCTGAAGGGATTCGAATACGAGGTCGTTTTCTTTGCCGGCGATGGCGATGGCTCAGCGACAAACAAGAAGCACCGGCCTGGCTGGGGCTGGTTTCTGCAAGCGTACCATGTCCTGTCCAGGGCCATGCGCAAGAGGCTCCAGCGCCTGTACATTGTGCACGAGAAGGCTTGGGTACGGATACTGACCGAGATATTCTCTACCATTGTCAGCCCCAAGTTCAGGAGAAAGATCTATCATCGTGCGTATCCACAACCCCGCAGCGCGGAGCAATGCTGACTCCTTCTAGTATCCAACCTCACGCAACTTGCCCGCGAAATCCAAATCGAGAACCTGCTTATCCCTCCTTCGACCTATCTTGCCGACCGTCGCGTGTGCGAACACATCTCTGCTTTCAATGGCAGCGGGAAACGAGCATTTGGCGCCCGCGCCCCTTTCCCCACAGGCAGTAATGGCAAGACACGCTTTCCACGCGTGCTGCGAGAGACGACCAGCTTCGTGCTCATGGAGCAGAACATTACCTCGGAAGGCCTGTTCCGCGTACCACCACATTCAAGGCTGCGCGATGCCTTGAAGGAAGCATACGATAGGGGCCAAAAATACATCATCTGGAAGGACAACGAGGTGACACTGCCTGTACCACCCTACCCACACGCCCAGCATCAAGAGGAGATACTAGCTGAGGTGGCCCCCACCGACGCATACTCGGTCTTCATGGCAGCAGCTCTGATCAAAGCATGGTATGCATCGCTACGCCAGCCCATCTTCCCAACCGACTCATATCGGGACCTGAAGCGACTCTATGGCGACAGCCAGGAGATTCTTGAACTCGACAAACTGACCGACCTGTTCTCGCCAACTTCGGAGTGGTCCCTGCTACCTGGCATATCCCGCGAGATCCTATGCAGGCATCTTCTGCCTCTCATGAGTGCCATCGCCGCACGACAAGAAGAAAACAAGATGACGGCCGAAAACCTCGCTGTTTGCTTTGCACCTGGATTACTGTGTGGACCTGATCAGCTTGAAGACGCCAAAATGTCCTCGATAATTAGAAGGATCTTCACCCAGGCGGTCGACATGTGGACCGAGGGGCTTAGAGAAGCATGCGGGCAGAAGGAGGAGGCTTTCTACAATGAGCTCGAGCTACCCAAAGACGAGAACGACTGGGAGGACCCGGCGGATGCGAAGCGTGATTCTGCAGATAGCAAAGGCTCATTGGAAGATCAGATGAGCGGTATAACGCTACTCGACAATGAGAAGATGCCTACCTATCACGAACCACAGGAAACACAAGGCGAGGCGTTACCGCCTCCTCTGCCTCCACGCTCACGCGCACCGTCGGCCAAATCTTCTGCCGATTCTGTTCAGCGGAAACCTGCACCGCCCCTTTCAGTACCACCTCGCTACTCTACTGTCATATCCGACGCGCCTGAAGACGTCGCCGAGTCACCCATAACTTACGCTGCTACTACTGATGGCTTCGCCCCACCCCGAAACGACGACAACCGTATCGGCCAACCCCCTAATGTACCACCGCGATGGAGTGCACAAACGGATGAGAAGAAGTCTGGTACGAGCAATCCAGTTCCAGTCCTTCCTATGTCAGCATCTACTCGCGCACAAGAAGATGCGCCATTTTCTCACGTTTCTTCTACTACTACTGCTACTCCTCCTACTGTTGCGCCTAGACTCAACATTCCTAAGAGGAAAACCCTGACTGCGATGCAGATTGACAATGTCTCCAAGGCCGTCGTCGCACAGGATGAAGCTCACAAACACCCCATGGGCGGTATGGCGCTTCCGGGTCTTACAGGTAATTACTACAGCAACAACTCTATTGCGAAAAGAGGTCCATCCTCAACATACGCAGCGAGCGAGGGCGTGAGTTCGCCTCAGTTGACCTCTCCCCAAAGCGCAGTCTCTGCACCAGCGTCAGAACCTGCCTTTCGCCGTCCAAGCATTCCATTCTCCGCAACATCATCAACAACAAGCCGTAGTCCCAGCATCAACTCACTCGCCCGACCCGTATACCCGGTGACGCCTCAAGTTCCCATTATCAACACACCTACCAAAGCATCCACGCTCCCCATTCCAGCTGCTGCGCCCCGTCTGCGTACCCCGAGTCCAAGCCTCATGCAACGCATGCCCAGCTTCGAGAACTTCGCCAAAGACCAATCAAAGAAAGATGACGCAGACGCCGAGACTGGGGTTGCAAGAGGCCGAACATTGAAGCCAAAGAAAATGAACCTCAAAAAGCAGTCTGTCGAGGACCTGAGGCGCTTGTACGAAGAGCGTGCTGGGACTGCTAGTGTGCTTGTTCAGACTGCAAAGCAGAAGGGTGTTTGAGTGTGTTGCTGGTTTTCAGGGTGAGGTGTAATGTTGAGTCGATGTCGCCGGCGTGCTGCACACTTTGCCATTAATTAGGCCTGTATATTTTTCCCCGGCTTTTCCTTCATTTAGATCTATACCCTCTCATATCTCAGCATTTCAACTATATTACCTACACATGTCTCTATGTAGCTGCAATTTGTTTAATACAAACATTCATGTTCTTGTACCTGCCATTATATTCTGTCTCATTAATTCGTGCGCGTAGAAAAATAAAGAGGCACGTGGAATGGACCTTGGATACACGGAACACATGACATTTGCCTACTATTGCTAGTTTCTACATTGCACATCCGTACGAGCTCTCAGTCCGCCGACCACGAACGCCTTCATTGAGAAAATACACTCGTCGTTCAGTACCTGTGCGCCTTAGCCCCGATAAATGATGCCGCTATGCAACGCCACTCGGAATCCATCCAGCCTCGAATGTATGAGCTTCTTCCGATAATGCTCACCGAACCAACTGCTGCATCAAATGAAAAATGCTCCCATCATCAATCTTGAAACCATCCGTCTGTCAACTCATCGCACCTTGGTTTCCGTTCGTGTTCTGCCACCATCCCGGGTCGTATTCTTCCTGCGCATGGTGGTGCCCCGCATGTGTAGTTTGCGGGTAGCTCACATGTTCTGTCGGCTGCGTGTAGCTCCCTCGGTGCGCATACCCAGTGTCTGCCTGGCTATGCGGGTTGCCGTATACACTGCCTCCAATGTTGTGATTGAAGCCGTTGATATGGCTCGAGCGCCAGTCCTCGCTGATTTTGAAACCATCCCGACCAAGACGATCACCTACGTCTGTGTTGTGGAGAACACTCTCCAGGCCCATCGGACTTATTTGCTGATAAGTGTGACGTGGCAGAATCGGTCCTGGTACTCCAGGAATAGGGTTCCAAAACATGGATTCTGCCGTATCGGTAGATGGAGATGTCATTGCCGTAGACATGTTGGGGGCGGATGACATGGGCTGCGAGTACTGATACGTCGGTAAAGCCATTCCTGTATTGTAATTATGATGGGTGGGTGTGTGCCCTACAACAGGTGATGGTTGGTGTTGGCTCGATACCACACTACTCGGCCTCGAATTGGCGGGATGTGTAGCCAATTGCAACCCTGGTTGAGGAGCAAACATCGACAGGCTCTCCCTCCTCTGAGTAATAGGTGGATGGAGACGGCCAGGTCCTATCCGATTGCCGGTAATAGTTGTTGTATTGGGAGGTATCATAAGAGGATCTGTCGGAGGACTGATAGTACCTTGGGGCTTGTTGGGGTCACTTGTCGGTATCAACGAGGAGTTGCCTAATTCTTCAGGAAAGGGCAACTTCCACGTCTTCGCCAGGGTGTATATGACGCGGAAACTCCTCGCCCCGAAATAGTGACATTCGTGAAGATCGTCTAGGCCCTGCATGCCTTCGATGAGGTTTTGGCGAGAAATGCTGTTATCCTTTGAATATAGCAAGTGCACAACACATACAGTGAGTAGTACGTGTGGTATGAGCAGGTGAGCTTGACGAAAGTCGTAGAACTGCCGGTAGATCCGGACAAGTTCAGACACTTTGTTGGCCGCATCTACGCAGATGTCGCGGGGGCGTATATCGGAATGAATAAGATCGACTTTGAGCAGAGGCCGGAAAAGGTGCACGATGATGGTCCAGTAAAGCATGCTACGTGTAGTGTCAGTTCTGTTCGCAAAGTAAGCATGGATGTTCAGACATACTGTAGTACCAAGATGTGTGGCTCGGGTTCCTTCTTTCCTTCCAGGCTTAGCAAAGCTGGCAGTTTTCTATACCAGGCTTGGTA